CAGAGCGTTTAACTTTTCGAAGGTTATAACAGTTTCTGTAAAACTCATCTCTGAGCTTGTCAGTGGGAGCGTAGACAGATACGACCAAGTGGCAAAGGCGAATTTCCTTAATTTTCCGAGTCCTTACTATCCCGTTTAGTCGGACAGCGCACAAGCGACTGTCTACTGGGATCCAGTCTAAGAAAGCTAGTTCTGCCAAAGGACTTAACGCTATCCCTACAGCAGTGAGGCCACGCGTTTCGGAGACGCAGCATACATCGATGGCGGGAGATTCTAAAGCCTTAGCTAAGGAACCCTGTTGTCCTATTTAGTACAAGATTTGAACATTGAAAGCTCGAACATGTGGTTTAGAACGGGGTTTCAAGAGACTAGATATAACGAAACGTTTGCATCAGTGGCTCGAGGTGACAAAGAAACGATAGGAGAATTGGCCGTGGAGGTAAGAAAGTTACTAAGAGGTGTGCAAAGGATTTGATTGTGACCGGTTCGGTCCCGTATGCTTTTACGGGAGTGAGGGTGGTCGTCACTTTCCGGCTGTCCACGCTATGGAAGGGCACTTCTTGAGGGACCTGACAAAGGAAATCGGATTAGCGTTGGTCTTAGAGACCTGGAACGGTGACCGCAAAGTCCAAGGGTCAACTGCTTGAAGCCTGTCATGGCATGGTAGAACCTACAGGAACATATATCCCAGTCAATATAGCTCAGCTGACCTATCATGATAGGCAAGCCCGACCACCACTTCAAGGTAGCAGATAAAGTCGGGCGAGGTTTCAGTAATTTGAAGCAAATATTAATAGAACCAAATGACAATTTGCAAATATTTTTAATTACCACTTGTATATAATTTCACAAATTTTTACTTTTTTGTTATTGATATGTTTGTACTTCTGATTAATAAATGAAAATTTTCAAATGGTTTTAAATACAATTAAAATGTATAAGATTAAATTATCCTCGACTTTCATAGTAAACATGGCTTATGACTAATAGTAGGATCCAAAACCCCTGTTTAATCTTATACAAGACTCATCATTGGACTTACCTAGAATCTAAATTTATTAATGATCGTGCTGGGACTGAACCCATTATCTTTCACTTCAAACAATTTAAGTGTTCTCTACTGAGCTGCTAAGTTCAGGCAGTAACTAGCTTGTTCAAACAGTATAAAACTATACATGTAAGGATCTTACTTTCTCGTTGTTGATAATAAAGACTTTATTTGATCAATTTTTCTTAAAATAGGACAAAACGCGTACAATAGATTCTACTATCAATGGCAATGTAACTTCAACATTAATTTCAGAATTTTGATTATAAAACATTACAGGTTGTAAGTAGCTGATGTGAACCTAACGAAATAAAATGAATTCGTGCTACTCTGCTAAAATCTTCGTTTCCTTCTCTTCGGTTTAACAAATAGGGAGTTTAACGATATGTATTGATATAAAATTCTAAGATTGAAATTGAAATCTGAAAATCAGATTACACTAGCTGATAATTTTTCAGTGTGAAAGTTTTGAAATAGAATAGTTATTTAATTTCTTGTACAACATACATATTCATAAAACTTAATCACATGAAATTGAAATCAAAAATCAACTAAATCACATGTATATAATATATGAAACGCATAAATTCATCTTACCATATTCAACTAGGTACTATTTGTTTATCTATCTTTATGAATGTAAAAAAACATTTGTATTGAAAAAGAAACTAAATGACTGACATATGCGTATATACATACATAAAAAGCAATTTATCTTGTTTTCAATAAATAATACAGTTACTGAAGTACATAATTTTCTTTTTAGTCTAAATATCTCCTTTAATTAGAACATTAATTGTGTATGTGTATTGCATATGTCGGTGTGTCTATATGTGACCAAGTGACATGTGCCAGAATAATTTATTGACAAAAATAAAACAAAAATTCTGCTAAAAAAAAGGCTGTACCATTTAAAATGATGCCGAAAGTAAACGATATCAATATGTGAACAATTTGTCCATTGAATGAACAACGTAACTTTAAATTAATAATGTACTGCAACATGAATACGGTTACTACTAATCCATCTACGTCACTGACCCTAACCAGTTCAGTTGAATTAATGTTTTGATAACCATGGAATTTCTCGATTACACAAACTTCTAATGAAAGTAAAAGATTAAGTGAGTGTGCATTTTTCATTACTTTGGTTCAGAATCTACATAACCATAAGATTGAGAAATTAAATTTGTATACCCTTCAACAAGGTACATGACGATTACAAATTCGTTATGAAGCTGGACATATTTATAGTTAATCGGCTGTTAAATAACAAAGTAAACAAGCTCGTAATTAAGGTTGTGTAAAAAAAATACCGTGACTCAGTTATTTGAAAATACTGGTCAAGAATATATTTCTTCATCCTACAAACATTATGCTGTTAAATTCCACTCTGTCAGCTACAACGTAAAACTTCGTACGTACGTACATCAGTCAAGTTAGCAAACAACAATAACACAGAGATAAAATTGCCGATTAAAATTCTACAGTGGTAAACATAGTAAGTATTCTAGAAGAATGGGGATCGACGATATGATTCGAGAAGTATATACCAGTGGAATCAATTTAAAAAGAGAAAAGATATCATGAGGAATTCAGAAGACTAGAATTTGAGAAAACACAAGCGATTTTGAGCAATATCATTCAAGGTTTCTAACCATCGATTAATATCATCTCGCGGATCCCAACCAAGTAGTCTACACCCACCGACAAAGGCTCAGTCCAGTTGTCAGTGATTTCATGGACTTGTGCCATGTTTCCGTTTGAACTCCCCTAACTTTCTTACAGCGTACCCTTACACCAAAAATAGTTCGTCGAGGTACTCGGGGATGGGGAACTAGCAGTACGTTTCAATCACATTAAATGGTGAAGTTTCAATACTTCATCTACTGATTTGCCATCCCTACCTAGTACCCTTTTCATAACACCAGAATTGCTTAGTCAATAGTCCCAAGCTATACGAGCATTGCTTTTAAAACACCTATGATCGAAAACCAGTAACCTTAGAGTAGCCTTTAGTCTTAGTGGCTACGTTTTACACCCATAAATTAAGACGGAGCGAAATGCTGCGCAGAAGACTCGTCCATTGGTTAACAGGCCAGCACCTCGCCAATGCCATAAGTGACGCAAGCTAATGAAAACCAGCAGAGTCTTTTGCATTTGAGCTGAAGCTTCGTTAGACCCAGGTCATCAGCGCTGACGAGACTCCCCAGATAAGTGAAGCGGTCGACACGTTCAACTACTTTACTCCCCATAACTAATTCACCTGCCGACACAAGCCAATCCTGAAACAACGTTTCGCATTTCGAGAGGGAGAATCGCATTCTGAACATAGTTGCATTGTTGCTTAAGGTAGTCAGAAGACTGCATTCTGTAAGCGCCTTGGCCAAATAGAACTATGTCATCTGCATATTCTAAGTCAATAAGTTGATCCCCTAGTAAAAGGTCATCCCTTGGAAAGTCAGACGGGGATAATGATAAATCAATTTTCTAGACATTTGGATGGTCTATCTATCAACTAAACCACAAGTTGTTTATCAAACTAACAGTTATACATTGTATTTAACTCTTGGAATTTAAATTAAGTGCTGTATCTGTGGGAATCTTCATACTTCAACTAGAAAACTATGAATCGGACGATTAAATTAGAAACATTAAAATAAGATGTGTGAATTTATTGGATTCAAAAGTGGACCGAAATGATTTCTGAATGTACCAATTCTTATACTCTGTATTTACACCTATCAGTAGTTAAATTCTAATGAATTGATTTGAGTTCTGTTTGTTACCTATTCATCACTAACTCATTGTGTATGCATATTTCCAATATTATAGGACTAATATTCTATAACGGATAGGTAGAACCAATGAATTAGATTATATGATTACTGCTTATTAAGGTGTGATTGTAAGAAATCGTTTCGGTATGTTACTTGCAGTCTAATCAATTAATTCCTTACTTACTAAGTCAACAAACTTATTTTATATGATCTAATTTATATATTCTTTTGATCATGAAACTATCTATTTCAGGAAGCGAAGATTGACTAAACATCAATTAAGAACCAAAAAAAAAATCAAAAATACGAAACCAAACTAACTTCTTATTGTTTACTTAATACATTTAATTTATAAAATTATGTGATTATGAATAAAGTTGGATGATTTTAAATATGTTAATTAGTATGGGAAATAATTATTATTTTAGACGAAGATATTAACTTCGCTAATATAACTATCTTTAAGTATGATTTACTACTATGTCATACAAATTCAATATACATACAGATATATGAAGAGATTAATCAATTTTCAAACACGTATTTGTGCAATTATATATTGTATCATATCTGTTTCAAGTATGAATGAATTGACAACGCATAATTGTCAAAATTTTTGATTGATTGATTATTCACTCAAATAGTATTTAAACTAATAAAGGTGAAATTTACTCTCATTGGACTAACTAGTTGCTATCTGAACCCATTAGGTTATAAGTTGAGAGCTTGTAGTGTAAAGCAATATATCCGAGTCTCGGTGTGAACATCAACACTGAGATTTAGATAAATCCAGTTGACAAGTCTTAAATAAAGATCCATCAATAAACACTTTCAAACTTTCCTTAAAAATAATATTTGGTGCTTAAGATGCTGTTGTATACAGATGATATTTTAAGAAAGTTGTGGAATCATAGTATAAGTGGTATTGTATTTTCGTTTATATCGAAAGACAAACACTATACCTGTGAAGATAGCTAACCATTGAGTACAAGAGAATGGAAAATATCGGTTAAATCAAAGAAACAAAAGTAACTGAAACTGATACTTTCATCCGAACTGCATAAAAATTAAGGTGATACTAAAAGTCACTAAAATTGATAAACTTGTCAACTGTAAAAGTGAAACGAAAAAACATTTTGGTAAAAATTAGGAATTAACAAACTAGTACTAACTTCAGCAGCATATCACATTTTGAACAACAGAAACAACGTTTGTGCCAAATATTTCCACCGGCTTCCATTCTTTCAGCGGCGTAAACCGATTTATCGCAACGCACGCACTTTTCTACTTTTGCCTGAATAAAAAAGGAACATGTTAGTGACTTGATTATTAGAAAACAGATTAAAATATTGATATTATCCACACAACCATGGAAGATGTATTCGCCATAATCCTTACGTGTTTTTTATGATTTTTGGTGATAACTTTAGAGGTCTATCGACAATCATTTACTATATTTAGGTAATCTAAAAGTGGAGCGCAATTCGTGTGGTGCGATCTGAGTCATACAAGATGTTTTAAATTCTAGTAGCTTCCGTAGACATTGGCGTTCTGGAAACACCAGTTGACATTCTTCGTAACCTCCTAAGTCAACAATATATTAAATTACATCGATAATTGTACAACTGGTCAGTAAGGAGACAAGTGGACTGAGTCATGTTGGTAGATGTAGGCTACGTGGTTGGTGTCCGCGAGACGAAAGTCATCGATGGTTAGAGACCTTGAACGACATGGCTCAGAATCGTTTGCAATGGCGACGATGCGTCCACCCTTCGTGTTCTCTCTAATTCTAACCTTCTAAATTCCTCATCATCTCTATCTTTCTCCTTCTAAATTTACCTCACTGAATTATACATCTCGAATCATATCTTCGCTCCCTAATCTTCTCCACTACTGCTAATACTTCTACTATCGCTATCACTCTTGGATTTGAACTGACAGTTGCGTCTCTGTGATGATGTGGTATGACAACCTGAACTGATGTACTTACGTACGAAGTTCTGCGTTGTATCTGTCTGTCTGGTCAGTAAGGATAAAACTACGGGTCGTTCGTATAATGTCACACCTTTTACCAACCCAGACGGAGAAAACGTAAAACCATGTTATAACGATAACTCTTATAGACACTAGGACTAAGTGCTAACTATGTATATGAAGAAAAGTACCCTACAAGGGAAGTAATCTAACCCAGATGAGTCCGCTCCTACTATCGAAATGTTCTCATATGGTCATATGTATATAGTCACTGTCAGGAAAGTCATACTCACCTCTTTCTCATGGAGCGGGTGTTATTTACGGGATTGAGGGGGTGAAACGCAAGTGTCCGGTGCCGAAAAGGGTTGAGGAACATGGAAGACCCGCCTGGAGAAGTTGGAAAACCCTCATTTCAAACCAAAGGTTCATATGAGCTCCAGGATTCAGACGGGACGACCAGCGTATAAACCTGCTGTTGGTTACCGACTAAGATTAAACTGCATGTCCGTAGCTGCTACCTTGATATGGTGGTAGGGTTCGCTTATAGTGACGAACCAATCAAACTATATGGGCTAGAAAATAATTTCTACCGTGCCGATTGGAGAACGATGCGACTAAAAGCAGGAGAGAAGTCGTACTGTTGATTGCAGGTGTCAGACAGCAGTAAGGTGTTTCCCTCGGACAACCAGCATCTGCAGTGATGTCGCCTTCTCACAAGGAAGGAGGAAGTTAGTTAAGATCGACCCTAAAATTGCCACACCTCACCTTACCACATGGATTCCCGGGTCCGGCGGTAAAGCCCTTAAAAAGAAAACGGAGTTAATATTTAATGACTCCTCACAAAAAGGCCGTGCTTGACCGGCTGTAAGCAGCTGTCTCTTGGGCCCTGCGGTCACGCTCCCAGGTCGCTAGGACCAACACTAATATACCTTCCTTTTCAAGTTTTTCAGGAAACTCCCTTCCACGGTGTGGGAAGCCGGGAAATTACACTCACCCTCATACCCGTAACAGCACGAGACCAAACTGGTAACAGTCCAATCCTTCTTACACTCCCTAACATCTTACTTATCTCCACGACTCACCCTTCTCGTATTGCTTTATCACCCTGCACAGCTAATGCAAACGATTCGAGTTTACAAAACGTTATTCCTGGTCTCCTAAAATCCAGAATCGTCAAATCATTTGACGAGCATCTGTTGAAGATTGACTTCAGCCTTTCGTAGAATTGATCTTTAACGTCGTCATTGTTGTCATTGGTATGTGCATAGCATTGGATGAGGTTCATTGGAATGCCCTGTTTCTTTGCTCTACCGAAACTAGTCTCAGTTATCCAATATGTGACTAATGTGTTTCACTGTATCTTTTCATCTCTGTAGCAATTTGGAATGAATAGTCTCCTAGTCTGCCACATTGTTCGAACATTCCAGATATCTGAATTAATGGTTGCCCCAGTTGTCAGAAGGGGCATCGGCCTCGTGACATCCGAAGGAACTTGGGTTTCATTATGAGATGTCATACCTTTTGTGAAAGAAGACATTCTAACTCCCAGGGCAGAGTTAAAATGGTTTGAATTATGTTTTCTGGTTGGCGTTTTTTGGCGAGTTAGTTTTCTATGGAATAGGTTCGCCAACCCTCCTCTTTTATCTGGTTTAGGGACCGGTGGTAGCTCCAGAGAGGCTCCAGGAGGAGTTGGGCAATATCCCAGCACACTCACAAATTCAATAAGCTGTTTAGTGCATAAATATCTAGTTGTCTCTATGTACCAATGTTTATGTTCTTAGATGAATAATGAATTAGATGAGAACAAGCTTTAGAGGAGTTTGGAATGATACAAGCTGATTTATCTGTGCACGGAGAATTTCCCTTCTGGATCATTTATGGGACTTTAAATGTCTTATAAACGAATCTTAGTCGCCTTAATAATCTTTTACATAAGCCCGTCCAAAATTTGGTTTCGACAACAACATGCTGTATTCTACATATGCTGTGACGAATTTTAGTAATGTACACCAGCGGGGTATCTATTATTTGATGAATCGGGAGTTTGATTCTCACAACAGAATAAAATTTCACTCATAACTGTCTTGAAAACAAGGTATATCAGACAGTGATTTTCTCTTGCATTCACAGTGCTTCCAGGTTTCTAATGGTGGTCTAACATTGATCGATTGGTGATTTCAATGAGAAACTTTACAGCCTTCACAACCCCATAATGCAATTACCTGCGCACAGGAGTGACTAGCTCCGTGAGGATTCTTCTCCTCGTTCTAGTAAGAAGTTGTGAACAGTGGAATTCAACCCTGTTCATGTGTAGACAGTAACTACCGAAGACTGTGTGAGGTTGCACAAGACCATTAATTGACCGGAGTTAGACATAAACACTGTTAGATACCGGCTCAGTGGTCTAGAGCTTCATGTGCAAGACCGAAGATCTTGGGTTCGAAACCTGCGAGGTACAGGAGTTGTGGATGCGCACTGCTGATGAGTCCCATACCAGGACGAAACGGCCGTCTGGTGCTTCCAGGTTTCTAATGGTTGTCTAACATTGATCGATTCATGATTTCAATGAGCAACTTAACAATCTCCACAACCCCATTATGTAATACTGAATATTCGATCATAAAACCAAGAAAGAAAAGCTTTTTATGTTGTGGCTCCATACGCGAAACGGCGAATGGACGATCTGCATATTTGATTAGGATTTAGGGATCCTATACGTTACACATGTAATCAGGCTGGACAAGAATCCACTCATCTCAACCGTTTAGCAACGCATAGTTTAACTTAACACCTCCAATCCATATCGATCATAATTTACAAAGTCAAAACAATCTAATCGAAATATTTTTGTCACCATTAAATTGAAGGAGTAAAATCTAGACAAACGGTTATTGATTATGATGACTAATTATATTAAACTGTTTTAGTCATTTATGCTACATATTGCTTATCTAATAACCGAAGAAAATAACACACTAACAATCCAATGTTAATGACAGTTTTCACTCCAATATGTACTTTCCATTAGCCAATCAAACATGTTCGACCTTAACAAAATAAATTTGTGTTACTTTTCTGATTTAATTGGAAAAAAGGTTTACAAGGTCATTTTACATATTGTTATTAAGGGAAAAGACTCCATCGATCAACATGATGCTACAAATACAGCTTTGTTCTGTGCAAACAGTTACAAGTACGTTCAAAAGCATTTGAAAATGTAAGTTGCGAAAGAGAGAGAGCATGTGACGATGTGTCTAAGGTTTGTACTTATAAACAGCTGTTACAAACCAGGTTTCTTCATTTAAAAAATATTCAACTAAGCGTATAGCATAGAATATCAGTCATCATACTAGATGGGGGTGGGTGATATTCTACGACAAAAATGTATCATATGACTAATTCACATCTTAAGTTTCAGGGTTGAAAATAATGCAGTTATGATTTGTTTTTTTACACAATGTAAAATAAATAAACTGAGGTAAAATAATATAGTTCATTAAGATAAAAGTAATTATCACAACCACGAGCAGATAACCTGGTAAAGATGTTCATCTTTCTTCAATGATGGTAGCTGTTTTGAAATGTCAGATTCCACCCAGAAAGGGGACCAAATCTACCCAAAGTTATGCCCAGGGAATGAATATCATTTAGGTGCTACAAACTAGGGAGTACTCAGCAACTTCTTAATTCTATTTCAAGGCACTTTGTGGGTACGTTTCTCATATTTCTGAGATTATTGAACACATTATTCTGAAGCTCTTATCTAAACACTAAATAACAAGTCAAACCAGTGTTTAGTGATTGTAATGGCAAACATAGCAACAGAAAATGGGTCACACTATTTTGAGAACTGAATATAAGTAACTGTTTCAGCAGGTGACAGTTGGTTAGCTGCTCTTAGAGTAACACAGTTCTGTCTAATGGAGAAGCTAACAAAATGTAAACTTACAAACACCTTGAGCGACAAGGTGTGAGTTGCATTTTTCCTGACTTTAAAAACAAACTGTCCTTTTGTGAATGGTCCTCGTCAAAACCTAATTTGACCATAGGAAGTGAGGTAGTTTGGTATGTTTAGTAATTATCAGCCTTGATAAAAGGTTAACAAAACCTTAAAACAGATGCATAAAGCCCTCGTTTTCCGACAATTTCCGATACATGTGATGCAGGCAAGATATTCGTTTGCATATCAAGTAGAAACCATACCGCGCAATCTGTATTGATTACGGCCATGAAATCCCCCCTTTGTATGTAGAGGAACATGTAGGTTACTCAGATTAAGGCATAACTCTTGTTTATTCGGGTAATCAAGTGAGTACCACTGAGTTCAGACGTAGGGTACCAAATAAATATAACAAATCAGCTGGTTAGCTTTACAATCTTCATTCACTGAGGTGATTAGAAAATGTATTACACATCACCAACAACCAATTAATAACAGCTTTTCATATGGACGCAAGTTTGGGTTTATATGATAAACGTCAACTATCAGACGTTTCAAACAGTCAGTCTGACTTTTTTTACTGTTTACATATACTTCTTTGAGGAAGCGCTAATCTCAGTCAGTAAGTTGTTGATAAACCATGGCTCCTTCTTAAAATTATCCGCTGAACAGACCATTTTCGCTCTGTTAACGAAACTTTCTTCGTGGCGAATAGGTATAAAACGCTAGAAGTAAGTATATTAGCAAGCAGAGCAACTCTTACTGTCCACGCTTCTACTTAACGAGCCGTCGTCCAGTCTACTTAGTGTGAAAGCTAGAGACGTTAACTTTGCAAAAAAACTTCTATTGATTAAACTAAAATTCAACGGGCATGTGGCTAGCAATATCCTGTGTGATCGATTAGCGAATGTAATCAGTAGGAATTCCTACACAGCCAATCTTGGGTTGAATTTCTCGAGTCGACCAGTGGTCTACTCAAACGAAGGATAAGTTATCTGCATTAGACTCCCTAATGTTCATATACAAATTTATTATATATATTATTATATTACAAATTTATAGCTATCTAGCTATATTGGATATACTACCAGGCAACTTAACCTCCGAATATGTGAACATCTTCCAGTATGGTTTGGAAAGAGTCATATAAAAACAGTAAGCAGCTCTATCTTGGCACAGCTGATTGATAGCGGTTATAATATAGATAAAAATGAATAAGTTCTAGTGATCTGTCTCATACCTCTATCATTCCCAAACGGAGTTCGACATCTTCTAAATACAGCCGAAGCTATAGGAATTCGAACATTCAATCCCGATTTATATGTTCAGAAGAAATTTGTGACAACGCTGTCCCTATCTTGGCCACATACAACTTTGTAAACGACCTTAGATATTCATGTTATCATTAGTATTATTTTCATATCCTGTATTTACTTGTAATATTTTTCGCCTGTTTCTGTTTATATTCTTCACCACATAATTGTTTACAGACTTAATACGTAACTTTAATAATGCCTTGTGATTATTACTAATTTGACCTACTACTTCCAGTGTCGAACTACTGACAACAACTCTTGTCATTGTATCTTATTATACTTACTACTATCCGTAAACCTGACTTCTTACTAGCAACTTATATTTTTACCTATCGTGTGTAGTTACGTGATCTATTGCATTGTGATTATTGACTCATAAGTTGCCTTGACTGGATTAAACATTTTCATATAAATATTCATGCATATTAGAATAAAACCTGATGGCGATCTAACTGAAAACAATATTGTCCACTTATGTGTATTGTTCTAATAATCAAAATGAAAACTTCCAATATTTTAAAGTAATTTAAATGCATGCAGACAGATACTTACTGGAGTGAAAGGCATATTGCTTCAGAGATTACCGTTTAGCGTCAGCGAATAACACGTTCAGATCAGTAATTTCTTGTGATTTAATAATTTATACAATTACGGAGGTGGGTGTTTGTCTTCTGATTGGTCAAATAACCAGGGTCAATTAAATTGTCAGTCACATATTCTATGGTCCAGTGATGTAGAAAGGGGAATTATTTACACTATGTATATGTAATTTTTATAACTAGATGTCTATTGGTTGTATGAATCGACTCAACCAATAGTTTTTGAGATATTTAAAATGTCTATCCGTGTTTAATACTAGTCAGAAAATGTTATCAAAACTGTCATGGCAACAAACTTGAATAATAACTCACCCACTTATGGGACGTACAATTCACAAGTCCCAGTGTTCAGACAAAAGCAAGTTCCGAAATAAGTGAACAAAGCATCCAGCGATTTCTGTACTATAGAGATGAATTGGTCTACACTTCCGACTCAACAACATGGATATATCGAGTTCAGGTAAGCCATCATGTGATGTAACCTCGGGTACCGTCCACCAGTATCCGAAAAATTATCCCGAAGATGAGCAATGTTACTGCCACGGCATGACGCTATGATAAGATAGCTCCCGCTCACATACATGCGTTGTCCACCCGAGCCCTAACGGTACTGCGCCAGAACACGAAGTGTTCCCTGAATCTCAATTTCTCGGACAGAGTGTGATTGACCAGGTAAAGGACTGCCTCCAAACTAGAGGAATAGACATATGCTGCTCGTGAACTCGTGTTTTCCAGATCGTTTCACGTAATGGCGAGGATGACGGCTAACGGACAAACGATCCAGTGGTTACCAGAGTTAATGCTTATGTATCGATGGGTGAACTCGAACAACTGTGATCATAAATTCAAGATTTCAATGAATTCAATGAGTCATACTAGTACAATATATCATGACGAAACCTTTAATTTGTAAGCATGTGAGCTATTACTAATAACTATAAATATTAGTTCTTTTTATGGCACACCTGTCACACAAACCCCGCACGAAACAAATATTCCTCTTCATAGAGACAAGTCTTAATCAACTGAGTAAATCACTCTTGGAATATCAACACCTAGCTGTTTTACTATAGAGACCACATAATAGGCATTTTAGTGTTTCAATCTAGTAGAACAGACATATCATATTGAGTTAAAGACTAGATCTGGGTGTGAGTCATGAAGGCAAGTATTCATAGTGTATATTGATGTCCGTACTACCACATTACGTCATGTCATTGATGTAATGTGTTTGATTGCCATATACTCTTTATACTATCGATTTAGTCGTTACGATAAGGGATGCATGATCAATATAGTATGTACGCTTAACTTTACATCGCCATTACAAATACCTCATAATTACTCCGACACGTGGCCATATGCAGCGATTATTAGATATGTTACGATACATCACTCCTATTTATGATTGCTCGATGGTCCCAGACACGAGATGTAAATTTTAGTGCTCGATCCTATCTTACACAGCTGCCCTGACAAGGGCTCTTAGTTTATGAAGCCCGCTATATTCTCCATGTATATATATCAGGGTTAGGAGAATAGACAGCTAGTTTGGCAAGTTGCCTCACATACTTACTGATCACATACTAGAGTGCAATAAAATGTTCACACATTGATCTTTTACGAAATGATCGAATATCTATTTTAAACACTCGGATGCATCTATATGTTGTAGTAACTTGTAACTAAGTAGACTCTCAAAAAACAAGGTTAATTGTGGCTCGGTGATACGTATTCATGATGCTCTATTTCTAATAGTGATTACACTACTCCTGGAACCTAATTCCAGACAAAATTATTAACAATAGCGTATGAACTTGAGCGAGTATTAGCTTTAGTGCGTTTGCGTACCCTTACTTATACACTTACAGTTATGACGTTAGTACTTTGGACATCTCACGAATCCCCGCTAACAATAATCAGTAATCGTGAATTTATGTGTATGACAGGCTATAGATAGTAACTATATGAATACATTTCACCAATTTAGGAATACGTCATAATTTCGTTGTGAAAGAGAACTTACTTTGTGAATTACCCAGATTGAAACGGTCATTACATTATACAGTAGTCAACTATTAAGTCAGTTTATTCTACCTCGCTGAACTTCATAAACGAATCCATATATGAGTTTGTAATAAAAACTAGATATCACTGACTACGAACTCCTAATGAGTCTCTAACGGTAGCGATTCTATGGGTTTATGTAATTATTACATACTATTTGTTCACGATAAGCCTAATAGTGTTGGGATTCATAGGTAAACCAAATTAGGATAATTGTACACGATCAGTCATGAGTGTGCGATTCTTAGCATCTCGGGCATCTGTTGGCACTGAATATA